CAGTGCACATATCAATTCATTGCATTTTAATAAAATCCTATATTTGCATAGACACTAGTCTTTGCTCTGTTAAATAAACCTCCATGAATTTCCATGCTGGTCCAAGCTGGTTTGGAGTTGGTCTAGATGATGGACCAGCATAGTCATGTTGTTGAGCAGCAAAATGGTCTTTTGATGAAGCTGCTTGACCCAGGAAGGCTTTCTGGTTAAGCTTTCTCCTGATGCTGGTGTCTTTTTTTTTTCTGTTTATTTTGGATGTTTATCGAAGTATCAAGATGAACTTGAATGACATGCATATGCACTCGCTCGCCTTTTACATTTTTACAGAAATCCAAGATGACATCGGAGGTCAGCCAAGTGTCATTGAGTGAGCTTCCCATGGACAACTGGATGGCCCATCTGCCCAGTGCACTGTGGGAAACCCCTCTCTGTTACATGGCCATTCCAGGTATTTAACCTCACATTTTCATTTATACATTCACTAATTGCATGCAAACTGCTTTTTCTTGTTTGGCACATTTGAGTTCTGAAAATTACAATTTTAGTGGGACTTTTTTCTGTGTTTTCAATGCGTACCCACAATTCTGGACTTTTTATGGTTTAAATTTAATATTAATCCACAGTTATGTATTGAATGAGTGAATATTGTTATATTAGGAGGGCGCCATTATTAATTGATTAGAGTGACCACGTTGTTTTTGTTTTGTTTTTACAGTCTGCTTATATTTCCTTAGACATTTTAGTTCAGTGCCATTAGTGCTCGCGGTCATTGTGTCATTGTCCTAATGATTTTGTAGGGAGCCATAATGCCATGACCTACTGTCTGGATAGGAATGACCGCTCTCCAGTGGACCCCACTCAACCAGATATGTTGCAAAAGTTGGACAAGTACATGAAGCCCATCATAAGGCCATTTGTATACAAGTGGGCAATAGCACAGGTATGTCGTCACAGATTGTCGTCAATGAGCCATTTTCCAAAAAGTGCTTTTTTATTATTAGTTATCATTTCAGTAAATTTAATATAGTAATCACCATTACATGTTTTTTCATATATGTTTCTGCATTTTCAATTGGATTACTTGGAACAATTTTGGACAATGGTTGCACCATTCACATTGTCAGTTACATACAAATAGTAAACCATCTGAGTTAATTGAAAGCCTTGTTGTCCTTCATATATTGAAATACAAAATCACTAAAGCTATATCAGAAAATGCATGATCAAATTCTTTACATCCAGAAGTGTTGAATTTGTCACGTTTGAAAAAGCTCAATAATGGCTAAACATGTAAAAGCTGGGGAAAAAAATGCAATTATGCTGGTTATGGTATCAAATCCCTCATGAGGTTATAGACCATTTTATGTCAGCATGCATCAGCAGACTCCTGTAGAGCCTGAGTCTCTGAAATCTATCAGCATGAGGGGGAATAAATTGCCGTCTGCTGTCCTGAGGAAATCAATCAAACACTCAGTGGCTTTGCTACAGTGAAAGCTCTGAAAGCACAATTAGATGGGATAGTTATGACAAAAGTAACACTGACTACGTTTACATGGACATCAGTAATCTAATTATTTACCTTATTGTTTACATGAGTTGCTTTTAAATATTCCTTTCATGTTCCCGTTTGACATGTTATAGCACATAGTTCGATTAATGGCACGTCATTACGTCCCCACGTGACATCATCCGACGTCCCCTCCATAATTTCACGTATAAACATATAGTTCGTATTCGTGATGATGCCATGCTTTAATAATGCGACTAAAATAGGAATACTCCACATGTCTTAATTCGATTTCTGTTTACTTCGAATATGACTTTAGCCGGATTAAGGTAATCAAAAATCTCTGTTTACATGGTAGATTCTTAATCAGAGTATTGTCTTAATCGTGTTAAAATCGGATTATTGTTGTCCATGTAAACGTACTCATTGATGGATGAGCACATTGTCCCAAATCTGTAGGTGAGATTGAGCGTTATGTTTTTATGTTTTTGTTTGTCTCCAGCTAACTGTTCAGCACTATCTGCACCTGCATTGTGCTTTACATTATAGGAGTCTAGCATTAGGGAGCAGTTGGATTCTGGAGTGCGATACTGTGACCTGAGGATAGCACATCGGCCTAATGACAGCTCGAATGATCTCTACTTCTACCATGGTGTTTATACCACTATAACTGTAGAGGTAAGACAACTGACTACACAAAACTATGAAAACAATTGATTAAACATTTAAAAGTCTTAGTACAGCATTTCCTGTCTTGTCTGTTTGTTGTGCAATTTGATAAGTGCAGTAGTTCTAATCTGAATTTGATGTTTGAAGAATATAAATAAATGCTTTTTACTTGAATCTAACCAGTTTCTTGTGTTATCTCAGATGGTATTAAAAGAGATCAGAGAGTGGATGGATGTTCATCCAAAGGAAGTAGTCATCCTCTCATTTAGCCACTTTCTGGGCCTCAATCAAGAGCTTCACACACTGCTCGTCTCAACTATAAAGAGTGTTTTTGATTCCAAACTGTGCCCCAAAATGGTATGCATCCATTTTTATTATTTAATTTTAGAAATAGATGATCGGAAGTGGCATCAGTAACAATATGCTTCCAATATATATATATATATATATATA